AGTTGTGTTTGAGGCATGTAGAAATGGCTGATATGTGCTTGTAGCCCAGGTTCTGCTGTTTAATTTGATGTATAACATCACTATATTCTTTCATGATGAGTGCATTGTTTCACACTATTTCTTTCTGTAAAGGGGTTAAGTAAAATGTAACTAAGTCCCCTTTTTGATGATTCTCTACAGCTAAATAACTGTGATGTTAATATTTGTGTGTGGGGGCTAGACCTATATAAAAAGAAAAGTGAATGAAATATACATTTATCTGTGATAGGCCAATATATCCTCTATCACGGAATAAGGAATAAGGAACAAGGAATAAGGAAGCCTCCTGTACAACAACATGTACAGTCAAGCCCAAAATTATTCATACCCACGGCAAATTTGCCATGCCACTTTTTGTTCAAATGTAAATAAAAGTTGAGAAATATTTTTTCCATAATGTTGCCTCTTGTACATCATCTTATTATCTTCTGGGAGACCCCTGTGTCATTTCCAATCAAGAAATAACTTGCTGGTTGAATAAAAGTAACATTAAGTCAAAATTTACCAGGGGTATGAATAATTTTGGGCTTGACTGTACATACAGTGTAGCTGTGCCTCTCACCTAAGCGAAGCACCCAAATGTGATTCTGCGCCTCTCATTAGCCGCAATGAATTGCTGAGCAATTTGTCTCCTATTTAGTTTGTCGAGTTTATCTTTGTGGATATGATACAGCAACACTGTTGAGCTGAGACTGTGTCATTGTGCTTCGGAGCCAGGTTTTTAACCTCCGAAGACCACTGAAGCTTCTTTCAGCCTCAGCAGAGGAGGCAGGCACAGTAAGAATCAACCGCACAAGTACTTGTACTTGTTCAAAGAGACCCCTGACCTCTGGCAACGTTCCTTGCAGAATGGTAGCAGCCTCACTGCTTGACTGAAAGTCATACTTGGACTTGAACATTGCTAACTGCACTTGAAGAGAAGGTCTGTATACTTCTGGGTACTGTAGCAAAATATCGTCATCTGTCACTCCTGTCAAGAGTACTTTTTCAAGTATTCTGATCATCAGCAGCCCTTCATTTTCAAAACGTTCTGTGAATTGCAAACTCACAGTGTCCAGAACCTTGAAAAATTCTGTTCTGAAGTAGTCGACTGAGAAAGGAGGTACATGGGCAGCAGCCTCGCCAGCCAGGCGTTTGGGAGGGTTTCGGACCCGAGGCATTTCAATTGGAGACAGGTTGAGTTTTTCACACATTTGTGATGCTCTGTTGTAAATACTTTGAAATCTCTCAGGTGTTCTTTTTTCAGCTATGCTGTCTTTGACACAAGTCACCGCAGTAAGCATACCATTGAGTGTCTGTGAACGACTCTGAAGAGACGTATTGAGGCACTCCAATTCCTCTGTAACCTCCAAGGCAAGCAGAAGACCAAGAACTACATTGCCCTTTTGCAATCTTTCAAGCAAGCCATTTGCCCTGCTGGCTGAATCTGACTTACCAGATGCCATTTCCTCTAAAGCAAGTACTGGCTGATACTGGTTCAGTAGTGAACAAATGGCACCTGTACGTACAGTCCACCTCGTGGGACACAAGGGCCTGATAGACTGGGTAGGCCCACTCTCTGCTTTTGCAATATCCTGAAAAATGGACTTTATTTCCATTGACTGGCCAAACAGAACTCCCAATTCATGAGCCCACTGCAAAGAGTCACGAACAGCAGAAGAGGCTGTGCAGGAATGTTGTGTGATTAGGTTCACACAATGGGCCCCGCAATGTACACAAGGAGACAGAGGTTGATGCTTCCTGATAATGGCCTGTGCTCCTGAATATATCCCTGCCATGTTTGCAGCACCATCATAGGTTTGTCCTCTCAACCCAGTGATTGACAAATTCAGACGAAGCAGTACATCCATAATAACCTTTGCAAGGTTTTCTCCTGTGGTCACAGACACTTCATACATGCCAACAAATTCCTCATGAACTATCAGATCATGATCAACATATCTCACACATACTGCCTCCTGCTCCTTTCCTGACACATCTTGTGTTCCATCCATAATCACAGAAAACTGCAGTTGCGGATGTGACCTGATGTTATCTGCAATTTCACGAATTATTGAGTGGCTCAAAATATTCAAGATCTCATTTTGAACTTGAGGACATGTATAGTCCATTCGGGAACTCAGCCATTTCCTTAGATCAGGATCATCCTCAGATTTGTATTTCAATAGCTATGCAAAATTTCCTTCACTGTCATCATGCCCTCTTAGAGCTAGACCCTGCCTTGCCAAGAACTGCACAGCACTGACTATTTTTAACAGACAGGTTCGTGCCTCATCTTGCTGTGATGCCTTTACATTAGACAGTTGCACATCCACTGATCTATTCTCATATATTTGCATTGTTAAGGCTATTTTGTGACATTCTGATAGAGCACGTAATGCAAACCTTTCACGACCCTTCTTCCAGTTTTTAAAACCAGTGGAAATGAATGTATTCTCTGTGTTTTTTGCAAGCTGTGATGTTTTCTTTTCAAATGCTTTGCGACAGTGAAAGCACAATGCTCCTTCAACACCTGGGATAAAATGAAGCCAAGGGAAGTCCTGATACCATTGACTCTGAAATCTTAGAGTTTTGTCAGACAATCTCTGAACCACAATGGTCTTAGGATCTGGCTGATGTGGTTTTAAAGTGGCCACAGAAGATGCTTCCTCTGCTGTATCTCTGTCTGACTCTGGAGCTTCTCCCTGCCTGTCAGTGCTGCAGCCTGGTCTCTCCCCTGACACCTGACCATCTCCCTGTGCTGCCTATTGCAATACAGACAAAAACATTTAGTATAAATAAAACTGGTTGTGAAGTTGCAGTGGAAATGCTCATCTTAGAGTCACTCTTATCCTGTTTACATCTCCATAGCCAGATATAAGTTCTCTTACAAGAATATAGATAATAACTGTGCAAAGCAACATTTAAAAATAGAATTAAGAATAGTAGTGGTGAGGAAATGAATCACAAAGTCAGTTTTCTGCTATTGTTCTATTCTTTTCTTACCTGTGTCCTGCACAATCCTCCCTACTGCCCTCTGGTACCATCTCCTCACTCACCCTGCTCCTTCTATTGTGACAATGAAGATTTAAAAATATGTCAAAAACAACACTGTGAAATAGTATTAGGAATACAGTAGTAGTAGAATTTAACCTCAAAATCCCTTTGATGCTATTGATATTTCTCTCAGCCAGTTATAACAGAGACATTATGAGGACTTAATTCATAATTTCTCCTCACCTGCTGTGAATACCTTCCATGTCCAACCCTGCTGCTGGCCTCTGGCCCACTGCCCCCTCCCTCACACTGCTCTTTCTATTGTATAAACATTTAAAAATATGTGCAAAACAATAGTGGGCACATGTTCTGTACAGAAATGAAGGAGTGGGTTTATAATCAGCTCGCTTAGCTAACTAAATTGACATTTAGTTAGCTAAGCTAGCAAGTTAACCTAGCTAACTTAGGATGACAAAGTCCTCTTCAAAGTCTTTTAGCCAAAGTCCGAGGCAATTATATCCCATATTGTCACAGATAACTAGGCAGGTTGACCCAAATGCAGAATGACACTCAGGAGGCGTGGAGTTAGGAAAAATGAGGTTTATTGCAGATACTGAGGTGAAAATGATGGGATTGCAAAAACAAGGCGAGGGTGTTACCGGTAGTGAGCAGATTGTCCAGGAAGTCACGGAGAAGACTCGGGCTTGGTGCAGGTGGAAACACAGACGAGGAGCAGGAACACGGGAAGAATCCTCAACAAAGGAAAGGCGGTCTCACTGACACTCGGAAAGAGGCACAAAGGGAGGCTCGGAGGAAACACAAGGGAAACACGACAGGAACACTCGGGTGGTGGCTAGAAGTCGCCATGTAGGGCAACACTCAGGCAAAGAGTGAGTAGTGAAAGCTCCTCTTATACAGGTGGTGACGACCAAAATGAATTGCAGGTGTGTAGCTCACACACCTGCAGGGAATCAGTCAATGGAGAGTTCCTCCAGGACGCCCTCTGGTGGACGCCTGGAGGAGAACAAAAACACAGGGCCAAACATCACCATTCCCTGACACATGTAAAATATCTTTGTATTAGCTAAACATTATCACCATGTAACAGCATTACTCAACTTACATGGTTTGTTGGGAAAAAAACTGTCCAGAGTTTTCTGCTTCTTGGTTTGTTTAGCAGACATGTTTAAAGCAAAACGTCTGTCTCACCATAACACTGCAGCTGTGTTTGTTTGCGTTTAAAGGCGGCTCGGAAAAACGTGTTTCCACATGATAAAAATGAATTAAGTGGTTGTAATGGCTGTAAAAAAGTGCGGGGGACGGAGGGCACAGATACAGGAAGTGTGGTGGACATGTCCCCCTGTACCCCGAGTCCCCTACGCCCATGCTTCAGACAATCACCACTGGTGGAGGCTCGTGTGGTCGCTCTGTGACACCTGGTGGCCAATTCAGAGAACAGTGGTGATACACGATCATTTAGAAATTTCAAAAACTTGACTTCATCCACATCATCAATGATTTCCTTCTTAATCCTGACCTCAAATACAATATGTGTCGGCCTGATACGCATGGAGAAGCACATGGATGCAGTTTTTTTTTGTAATAGATTTAGTCATTTTTTGGTCTTTGTGCCTTTATTTGATAGGTCAGTGATAGAGAGACAGGAAAGTGGGGGAGAAGAATGGGGGGAGGACATGTGGGAAAGGGTCATGAGTGGGATTCGAACCCATGACCTCCACATCGGGACTGTAGCCCTGTACATGGGACGCCAGCTCAACCCAGTGAGCTGTAGCGGCGCCCCCATGCAGTTTTTTTTTTTTAACATTAGGAGCTAGATGGGATAACTCGACCCATTCAGAGATGTTCAATAAAGCCTGGGTCAGTTGCACACATGCCAGGCTGGTGTCTTAAATGCCTTGTATTCTGTGTTGTGCTTTAACTTGAGGTGTTTCACAAGGTTTGTTGTGTTGCTCGTTCCCAGTTTTCCACAAACATCACACAGTGCGTCTTGGCTGTTTGTGGAGCTGATATAGCTCCACACATGACTCCGTTTACGGTCAGCCATTGTGTCAACAGACTGAGACTGATTGAGCAGCGTGCCACTGCGCTTATGCATTACGCACTTACCCAGGTGGAAGAAAAAGTAGTTCCCACCAACTGTGTGTGATTTAGTCAAGATCTCAATAGTTTAGTTACTTTCCACTGTGCTCCTGGTAGCGTTATATATTTCCTCAAATGACTGAATTGGACTGATGTTTTGATTGGAGAATTGATTTTACAGCATAAAGATCTGGTATCGGAAGTATCGATCCGCACATCACTACTGAGGGACTGGAGCCTATCCCAGCCGACTCAGGGTGAAGGCAGGGGACACCCCCTGGACAGGTCACCAGTCTATCACAGGGCTACACTTAGAGACAGACAACCAAGCACACTCACATTCACACCTACGGACAATTTAGAATCACNGCACACTTAGAAGAAACGTCACTTTATCACCATATTACTACACTGGGTGACAAACTCCTTACATTTAGCATTTTGCATTTTCCTTCTTTGCCTGACACAATTGTCCCTGTGTCTCCTTGTGATCATGAAGATCAGTCATGTCCTGCTTTACTTCATTTAACTACTTGCTTAGCTTACACACTCATCACAAACATGCAGCATTTTTTGACTTGCCCTGAAGACGTTCCAATTGGAGGCATCCCGGTTAGTGTGCATTTGAAACGGCACTTTACGTGATGATGTCACCGTCTCTGCTCATGTACTGTCCCTGTCTTTACCGTTTAACCACACTACATTGAAGTACATTATGTGTCTAACATTTCTGTGTGTGTGTGTGTATTTTTCCCCCTATAATTAATAAACAAATCTTATCTGACAATATCTCACGCAGAGATAAATGCATCATATGCAGTTTCTACGCTAACATTATTACTATAGATTAGCTGAATTCCAAATATATACCTACCATTGCTCCTCACACACACAGCTTTATAGTCTGACAGGTGCACAAACATAACACTCATTACCTTTACCGAGCCTATTCCACACACTGATCATCACTCTTTACTTATATTTATACAATGCTTGATGTTGAGTGCTTTAGTCAAACCCTCCAGACAGCTGACTTCTTTCTCTACCTGTCCAGTAATAACACAGACACATTTTTTCAAACATAAACAGTGTTTCATTACAACCAGCCGCTTTTACAGGTAACATTTTATTATGGCTTTTACAATTCAAACTGCACAAGTCACATTTCCAACACAATTCTAAACTTATTCAATTACTTATTTAAGACATGTACACAGATGACACATATTCAGCCTCTCCTCGTCCTTGTGTACTTTAGTGGAGTTGATCAGTCTCAATGTTCCATTCCCGCCATCATGCTGGTAAAAATGCTCTGTCTGAATGTTGACGATGGAGCTGCTGATCTTTCTGTGCAGTGTCCCAGTACTCAGTGACAGCCCGGCTCTCTTCAGCTGTCCTCCAAAAAAAATATTGCTTCAGTACTCCGGTTCATGCACAGCTACAATCTTTACTGTTGACACAAGTGTAAGCCAGGTCAAAGGGACAGCCACATATTTTAACAGAATGCCACCAGCAGTCCACCACAGCATTAGATAACACTCAAATTACACCCAGTGATGTTGCCATGATTCACATTTACCTCCTGAACAATGCAATGACAACACCAGAGCCATCGTTGTCCCTGGAAACTGGAAACAACCCTCAGCCACAGCGCCACCTGCTGGAAACACGAAGTGAAGTGTAAATAGGCTGCATATGCTCAAAATTCACGTTTTATGGCAGTACAAGTAAAGTTACATACATATACACACCGACTGTCTCAGTCGCACTCCCGCAAGAAGCGAGGACCCGACCAATGCCGCTCTAGTTATAGCTATTATTATTATTGTTACTATTGTGGGCTGCAAGGTGGCGCAGTTGGTGCCTCGCAGCAAGATGGTTGCTGATTCACGTCCCGGTGGGGGCACCGGGATCCCCCTGCATGGAGTTTGCATGTTCTCCCTGTGCATCCCCGTGCAGCGTGGGTTCTCTCTGGGTTCTCCGGCTTCTCCCACACAGTTCAAAAACATGTTGAGGTTAATTGGTGATTCTAAATTGTCCGTAGGTGTGAATGTGAGTGTGCTTGGTTGTCTGTCTCTAAGTGTAGCCCTGTGATAGACTGGTGACCTGTCCAGGGTGTCCCCTGCCTTCACCCTGAGTCAGTTGGGATAGACTCCAGCCTCCCCACGATTCTAGTGAGGACTAAGCGGTGTATAGATAATGGATGGATGGATGGATGGATATTACTATTATTATTGTTATTGTTATTTTGATTATGCACAGCCTCACCTGTATAATGAGGTATGAGCACACACTCAGGACAAGTCCAGACACCTTCAGGGCCTCTGTTAAATGTTGGTGTCAAACAGTCCATGTGATATCTGCAAAGTTCAACCACAGTTGTGGGATGAAATACCTTCAACTTGGACACATGACCAGCGACCAGCAGCTATAACACGTACGGAACATGGTACGTACAGACAATGAAAGAGCTTCAGAGGGAAAACATCTGCTCAGACAACACCAACCACGACATTCAACATTTGCTGCACTGTAAACTCATACCCTGAATCACAGCACATGCACACCAGCATCTGAGGTTTCCGGTCGCTGCGTTCACATTCCTCACAGAAAACAGCAAGGGTCTCTTCCTCTTCATCATCATCATCATCATCATCATCATTGTCCTGTTTCCGTGGACTCACTTTGATCTGCAGTACACAAACACTTCAGACACAAGCACTGTTTACACACGCTGTATATTTGTAAATACTTGGTAGAAAGCTTCTTTCAGCAAACCTCCTTCTGTACGTCCCCTCCAGGGCTCGGTCTCTGATAAATGAAAGCAAAACTAACCCGATCCACTGGGCAAGTGTTGGCTGTCTGTGATTCAGGACAAAGCAACTAAATATGCAAGTCTCAGCAAATATTTACACAAGTGTTTTACAATATGATGCACACACTGCAAATAGATAAAACAGTGCTGCAATGTACAACATGCATCTGCAGCTAATGATTGTCTTCATTTCTGAAATCAATTTTATTTATTTATTTTTTTGCAAATAAACCTATCTACAAGTCAGTCTGCAGGTCAATGATCGGAAGGTCGGCGGTTCAATTCCGCCCTGTAACCACGGTTGTTGTGTACTTGGGCAAGACACTTCACCCACCTTGCCTGGCGTGAATGCGTATGAAGCTACCACCACCGGAACGAACGCGTGTGAATGAATAATTGACAGTGTAAAGTGACTTTGAGTGTCTAGAAAAGTGCTACATGAATCTGGTCTATTGTTGTTGTTGTTGTTGTTGTTATCTTAGCCCCTCCGGTGCCATATCATATCTTAACACATTTTTAAAAATTCTCTACAGCTACAACTCTTCCTGACCAATGGACACAATATAACCCTGTTTTCTTACAGTTCTTCATGTGTACGACCATCACGTTTAACACTGGTCTGTTCCCCCAGTAATGTTTTTGACTGCAGTAACAGAAATGTTGGTACATTATTCTCCTTACCATACCTGTGCATATGTAAATTCCTCCAGTCATATGTGTGAATATTCATATGTTTACTCATCATGTCATATCTGTACATGTGTAGATGTGAGGCTGCCTCCTGTTGCCAGCGCATATTTGAGTGTGACCAGTGGCATAGCCGTCATTTTAAAAGTGGGGGGGACAAATTGTTCAGAGGTCTATTGAGTGATTTATCATCCTTTCACATTCAATTGCACCTCTCCTTAGCAGGTAAAGAACCACATAACCACAAACAGCACAGCACCAAAGAACCAACTTTATTTTTAAAAAAAACAATAACAATCATAAATGATGTACTATCAAAGTCAAAATCTAAAATCTAAAGCTGCCAACTCTGGTTGAGTTGACATAGAATGACCCGGGGCATCTACACGGTGCATGGCCAGATAATCAAGTGCCAGATGAAAACACTGAACACCAGAAGTTCTGTAAAAGACCATTCCTGTTTAAAATGATCAGCATCAGCATTAAATGGAAGTGACAAGGTAGCAGCCAGATTAAATAATTTATTGGCAAGAAGTGAGAAGTGAAAGTCACACAACAATAAACATATCAACATTAAGATGTTTTATCATTTATTCTATTAACTTTGACAGATGTGCAAGACTAATTAAGAAAAATGGCATAACCTATGCTTGCTGCTTAATACAGTAGTCAAATAATATCTATAATTGCACAGCACTGATTATTTTTAACAGACAGGTTTGTGCCTCCTCTTGCTGTGATGCCTTTACATTAGACAGTTGCACATCCACTGATCTATTCTCATATATTTGCATTAAGGCTATTTTGTGACATTCTGATAGAGCACGTAATGCAAACCTTTCACAACCCTTCTTCCAGTTTTTAAAACCAGTGGAAATGAATGTATTCTCTGTGTATTTTGCAAGCTGTGATGTTTTCTTTTCAAATGCTTTGCGACAGTAAAAGCACAACGCTCCTTCAACACCTGGGATAAAATGAAGCCAAGGGAAGTCCTGATACCATTGACTCTGAAATCATAGAGTTTTGTCAGACAATCTCTGAACCACAATGGTCTTAGGATCTGGCTGATGTGGTTTTAAAGTGGCCACAGAAGATGCTTCCTCTGCTGTATCTCTGTCTGACTCTGGAGCTTCTCCCTGCCTGTCAGTGCTGCAGCCTGGTCTCTCCCCTGACATCTGACCATCTCCCTGTGCTGCCTATTGCAATACAGACAAAAACATTTAGTATATATAAAACTGGTTGTGAAGTTGCAGTGGAAATGCTCATCTTAGAGTCACTCTTATCCTGTTTACATCTCCATAGCCAGATATAAGTTCTCTTACAAGAATATAGATAATAACTGTGCAAAGCAACATTTAAAAATAGAATTAAGAATAGTAGTGGTGAGGAAATGAATCACAAAGTCAGTTTTATGCTAATGTTCTATTCTTTTCTTACCTTACATGTTTGGTGGTGGTTCTAGTGGTTACATTTGGATTGTATGCAACTGAAGTCTGGAATACCATCAACATCCTTGTTTTTAATCATTTGTCTGCAGTTTTGTGTGCTCGATGTTAAAATATGGAGCTCAAAATCCAGATTTTCAGGAGAAAACGGCAACATTGACATCTGTTTTCTAAGTGGAGTTTTTATTTATCTTATAAACATGTCGAATACATAGCTGCATTGGAGGTATATGTGTACATTACCTATACAAAAGCAATCAGTATTAGTGCAGATAAATCAAGTTATTGCATTGATTTTGAAAAAAAATCTTTACAATGTTTGCTTTGGACACAAGGAGTTCAAGGACTAGCCAGGCTTTAATGAGTGGCTTCATGTGACTTTCTTCATATATTTCTTCAGGTCATGCAAACACAACTTCTATTTTTACTTTCACATATGATTTGGAATCATGTTTAACAAAAAAAGTAAACAAAATATTCACCTTGGTCTTGATAGCTTGGATTTTGTAAAAAGATAGTTTAAACAAGTGCATCCATGTTACAATTTAGCAGTGCTTTGACGGACAACAATACAGTACTATAAATCCATTAAATGTGTCATAGTCCATTACAAAAACGGCATCATTACTTTGTGAAAGTACTTAGGAAGAGATACAATGTATTCACCTAATGGAAAAATAGCAATTATTATACATTATTAACCTTATTTACACCAGCCGAAAGAAAGAGAAATGGTCTGCACTTATATCGCACTTTTCTACATTAATGGTGCTCAAAGTTCTTTAGAATGTTTTCCTCATTCGCGCATTTACACACCATTGGCAACAGAGATACCATGTGACATGTGGAGGGGCGAGGGATTGAACCACTGACCTTGTGATTAGTGGACAACCCGCTGTACTACCTGAGCCACAGCCGAAGGAAACACATACATTTATATAATCTCTGCAGCAACATAATTCAAATAAAAGTGGCATTTTTCTTAAGGCCACAAATACAGAAATGCAGACTTGATGTCTTGCCCCCTCCCAAAGACAGGGAGAAGAGTATAAAACCTGACATCAATGCTTTTATCAAGATCAAGAGCAACAGTTAAGATGCTGGTAGGTTTATCTCTATATGTCCATGTGCTTCTGTAGTTATTGGACTCAATCATACTTATCTAGAAAGTATTTAGTGTCTGTGAGAGCTGCAGTATTGCACTCTCCCTGCTAAGCAACAGTGAATGAGTCAAGATTTTATAAATAGCACCATTGTACAGCAGACATTGCAAGCTGATTCACAAAAAGAGGTAAAATACAACAGACAGCGTCAACATAGAACATTGGAAAAAACTAAACAAAGACAGTTTCCACAGATCTGCATGCATGCGTCATGGAACCCCTTAGTGGTAAATACTAAATAAATTGAAACAAGACAGTTCTTATTTTATTAATAACATATCACACTCATATAAGTGTCACAGTGAAGTCAGAACATCTTGCCACAATCCTTCCGCTTTGAAAGGGTAATACTGTGTTGAGTAGTCAGCTTCACATGAGTTGGACAGATGTCCAAGTGTGCATGTGATGATGCCACAATGCTAATTTGAGCTAAATTTTATTTAATTGAGCCATGTTTGTTTGTTTTTTCCCCCCATTTTGTTGCACATGTACTTTGGGTTGTAGTGTGTAAATAAAATGCTTTGGCCAAGTTTGTCAAGTCTGCTACAGACATATTTTTGATAAACAAATGTAAAGTTTTATGTGGATCAGGATCCAAGTAACATACACTAGGGAATATTCTTATCAATTAAAAAAAACATTTAGCTTTACTGAATTTTGCATTGGCATACAATTCTACATATTACGTTTAAATAGCTGGCTTATATGCGTCCACAACAAACTCTTCGTGTGCACTACCTCCTGGTAGTTAACAGGTTCACTTCCAGTATTTGCTTACCATTTTCTGACTTACCACAAGTACACAGTATATTCACCGTGTGAGCATGAAAGCAGGTCATGTCATTGACCACACAGAGCTTTTTTTACAGGCTCAGTTCTGGGTATTGCCTACTAAATGGAGTTTTATAAACTTAAAGGTGGATTTGTTAGGTGTTCATTATAGTCACTCACAGAGTCGGTCACATTGTAGAGCACATTTTGGGAGAGCTGGTCTCTGCATTTGCCTTCTGCCGAATGCACTCTAGATGATTAACAAGTAAAGAAGATATTGTCATCATCACATTCCAGACACTTTCTTTTCACAGCCAACACCTTACAGACACAGAGGAGAGGACAAGCAGAAAAACAGCACAAACACATTCTTGGTCTCTGTGTGGAGCAGGACTAAACTATACAGCCAATAGCCCAAATGTCAAACTGGTCAATGAGTCGTAGCAGTGAGGGACAGTTACCCCACCGTTTGATGTGCTCACCTGCCAAGTCCGACCGTGAGATTTCCACCAGGCCCTCATAGAGGCTTTTGATTGGGTTTTCCCCGGCCACCACCACTCCATGAAGCCATATTAGCAGCATGCGGTGACCATGCTCTTTGAAGCTTTTCATACCTACAAACAAAGTCATTAGAATTGGACTGGGTATGGCCTAAATCATATTAAAAGCAATATTTAAGGTTTTTGAAAATGCACCTATTTCTTTGCCCATCCTTCTCCCCTGCATGGATCAGCCTAGTTTAGCCTTGCATAAAGACTGGAAGCAACGAAAACAGCCTCTCTGACCTTAAAGGTTCATTCGTTTCTATCTTTCGCAAGCAGTTTTGCATGAGAGTGTTGCTGGTCAACCAACTGCCCGGCTCAGGCAGCTCATGAAGAGAATCAGTCAACACACGTTGTTCAAAGGGAATCATTATAATACTGTAAGAGCTTGACCGTACTGTCTAAAATGCCCTGTGAACTGGCTCCATATTGAAAAAATTAACTGTAAGGTGGGGAAATATATTGAGTGACCAAACTAAATGACCTTTTTAATAACATGTAGATCACTGCTCTTAAAGCCTCCAGCACATGATTGGCTACAGCAGGAAGCTTACTGTTTGAACCAAACTATCATAAAATCAGGTAAACAGAGATGTGTTTCAAGAGGTAAGCACTGCTCACCTGTCCATTGTTGTTCTATAGCTCGTATATGTGCATCAGTGAAGTCCCAGTGTTGAGCCAGAATCTTCCACTCTCCGCGGCAGAGGTGCTTGGTAGCCAGGCTCCAAAGAACAGAGCGTAAGTGCTGTGTCTCTGGCTGGTGGTCCTGTTTGAAGCTCAGAGGTCGAACCACGCAGGATTCCCTCTCATTGCCCATGTTGTCCTATGTAAGTTTTCAAAAATAATGCACAAATACAGTACAATGCTGTTCACAAATTTAAGAGAATTCATACCAAGTGCAGTAAAGAGGAAAAAAAACTTTTTAAAAAAATTAATTTTTTTCGCAGGTGTGCGAAAAAAATGTCAAGCTACTTAGCTGGTATGTTGTTTAGTATCAAGGAGAATGTGTCTCAGATTTTCTGTGGAAATGTCGTCTGTCTCTTTGCATAATTGAGGACATGAAGGAGCTGCTGACATCTTGCTTAGCTCTGTTTGTTTTGTACTGCACACCATTCACTATTAAATGTGGAACCTAGAATAGGTTTCTTGAGATATTTATGATGAAAAATTGGTCAACGTGTCTTTGCAAGCCACCAGTGAAAATGACTAAGTCATTAATCACACATCAAAAGCAACAACCCCTTGACATAACAATAAATGTTACATGTACAGTATGCACCCAAATATCACCTAAATGTCAAATTATTCAAAATTGTTTCAGCTCTCAATAATTACATTATTTCGAAGTTTACAAGTATTTCCTCTTATGAACAATCAAAAACACACCTGCAGCAGTAATAAGGAGGGACAAAATAAGCCACAGTGCCACTAATCAGAGCCGTAATGGCTGTCCCCCTAAAATGTCACCACAGTCAGTGTGCTTTTACAGTCAAGGTGGTAGATGGTAGTATATGGCGTGGTGAGTTTACATCTGGATATGTACACAACATGATAAATGTACATATGTACAGGTATGGCATGGAGGATAATGTACCCACATTTCTGTTGTTGTAGTCAAAAACATTATTGGGGAAATCAAGACCAGTTGAGGTGAACACCCAGGTACATGTACTCTTCTATACTCTACTCCTCCTCTACTCTGCTAATGAGTAATATAATAAATTTTACATATTAGTGTTTTATTATAATAAGGACAAATGCCCTCCTGTTCAAGTTAGAAATAATGTAATTACTACAAGGTGATATGATTTTTTAATCATTTAACTTTTAAGTGATATTCTACAGGGGTTCACTCACTTCTGATGTATACTTTGTGTATGTTCTTGGAAGAGAACCTATTTGGTATTTTGTGCTATTCTAACAAATAACTTTATTCCAGGCAAACTTCTGCATGTCCACACAGAACGTCAACAAACGTACCTTCTCCCATTGATAAAAACGGTCAGCTTTGATGATCATGTCAACCAGGATGACATGGTTTCCTCTTGCTGCCACTTCCAGACATGTTTTCCCCTGCTGTATACATTATTTAGTCAGCACAACATTTCTCTGTTACAAACACAGTTCCAACAGTCATATTACATGATATTATAATGTAAAATTAAGGTCAAATTAAAATAAAGAAGACAAGACATGTACATGCCATAAAATGCTTTACAAAAATGCACATTTATTCAATCCACTACACATCCTCGATTCTCCTACACAAGACTGATGACATGTGTCCAGAGTGACAGATGTGGTGTCACAAAAAAGTGAATAACTCTACTGAAGAAAAGGTGAACTGTGGATAAACTGGGACTTGATTTCCCTGTCTTTTACTGTACTTATAGTGGTGGCATTAACTATATCACACACTGGAATCATTTGTATTGGTTCCTGGCTATTATTTGGACTTTTGGTGGTTGATATATGTAAGAAAGCATTTATTTTAAATTGTCATATTCATATTCAAGCTGGGCTAAAAGTGATGCAGCATAACAGAAATACATGAGGATCAATATGTAGAGTAAAGAAATACAGTGATGGAAAAAAATATTAGACCACCCTTGTTTTCTTCAATTTCTTGTTCATTTTAATGCCTGATACCACTAAAGATATATTACCTGAAGAATACAATGAACATGACAAAAATGCAGCTGATTACATAAAACTTTATGTCCTATTTGACATGCTTAAGCTTAATTGTATTCCCAGGGTATATAAGAGGCCATTTCATGTCATAAGCAGCACTGCACTAGAGTGGTTTCTGTTTTGTTGGGTTCTTTTACAAATAAAGACTGTTGTCCTGAGTAATCACGGAGCCTCTTTACTAACTGGCTGCAATACATTTCGTTCTTCTCACTCGCAGTAGTGCTTCTGCCCATGCAGTACTCGGACAACATCTATGCATGATCTGTCCTCTAGTGGTAACACACATGTAATGCTCTGGATAACACCACAGTTTCCTGCCTACATTGAAGCCGCAGCACAACTCAGAAGTTGTCAGCTCTCACATAATGCCTAAAACAAAAGAATTATGTGAAGACACAAAGGCAGCCATCTTGGCAATGCTGGAAATTGGCATAAGTGAGAAACAGATAGCGAAAAAACTGAAGATCTCCAAGACAGCCGTTCATTACACCAAGAAAAAACAAGTTGAACATGGTACTACCAAATTACTAGCTGGTCGTGGCAGGAAACACCTTTCTACCCCATGAGATGACCATGTACTCATCTGTTCCTGTGTCTGGAATCGTCGTCAGACCTCCAGGGACCTTAAAAATGAGTGGGCACTGTCAAGAAACGTGACTTGTTCGGCAAGGACAGTTCAAAACTGACTTCTTGAAGATGGTCTGAAGTCACACTGCTGTGACAGCAGAACAGTGTCAAAAGCTGGTGGAGAGCATGCCAAGACACATGGCTGCAGTCATCAGAAACAATGGTTATGCAATCAAGTAGTAACTCCTGTGTGCATCATGCGACTAAAACAGAGAAAAGAAAACATAGAATGCCTAAAAGCACTGTTTATGGCAGTACAATGCCATAGCTATTGATGTAAGAACTTAAGTGCTTTTGGTTATTATCAAGAAAACCATAGAAAATGTCTACATATCAGACCTTAAATTAAACTCTTACAAGCTATTTTTGATGTTATTATATTTGTCAAAAAATGTACCTTTAGTTGCACCAGGCATTAAAATGAACAAGAAATTGAAGAAAACAAGGGTGGTCTAATCATTTTTCCCATAACTGTAGAATGAAACTGTAGCATAAGACCTGGCAGGGGGGCCAGATGTTGGTCACTACTGGAAGGTTTTTGAGTGTCAGCATCTGCACCTGCTATGTAGAGTGAAATTAAAGTCAAACCTTAGGCCATATCTCTGGTAGGTATTTGAAGCCTCCCAAGTGTTTGCTAAAATTGTGTGGAGATGTCCCCTGAGACATGTAAAAGTGACTTCTATGTCCAACGGAATATGCTGAAGAAATTATCATATGTAATTGAAGTTTGGGGAAAACTCTGACATATATGAGTACAAAAACATTACACAGGGATGAGAAAGGATCTGAAAAGTTGGTGAAAGAAAAAGGCACAGACTCTTCTCTACAAAAGTAGATGCATCAGAAGCTCAGATTCACTCCCTGTAGCAGCTCGGGGTGTTTGTGTTGCTGTCTTGATAGGACACAATAAACTCTTTTGCAACAGACTTTGCCAGCTCCAGTGATCTTTTTTAATTGGGCTCTCTGATTGCTTCAAAGCTACTCATCTTGTCAAAGAATTGGGTGATGGAAATGTAATAACAACTGTATATTACTATTCAGAGTACTTAGCATATTTTTGAATCGATTAGACCTGTCCGTTTGGACAAGTCAAATGCTCAAATGACAAATATTTTCATAGGAAATGTCAAAAATAATGTCTTCGGTGAAAGTCAAGTTAGCCAGTACCTTGTCAGTCAGATTGAGATTAACACCAGAGATCAGAATCATCTCAGCCAGGTCCTGCCAGCCATGCTCTGCTGCTATGTGCAGTGCAGTCTGCTGCCTCTGTGAGCCAAAGGACAGAAAACAATATTACTGCACGTCAGTCAGCCATGATCACAGCATTGTAAACTTATTTATTTCAAGATCCAAGAGTTTTTATTTGTTACATACAGAGCTTAAACTAAAGTGCAGTGTACATTGTGGAAGAGTGCAGTTGTGTGTGTGTGTGTGTGTGTGTGTGTGTGTGTGTGTGTGTGTGTGTGTATGTGTGTGTATGTTTGTTATGCATTAGAGCATGGGAATGTGTGTGTGCACAGACCTGTATATTATTTACATATGTAAAGTACTCACACTGTCAGTGACATCCAGGTCACAGTCTGCGTCTATAAGCAGCCGTACAACATCTGTGTGATTGTTGAACACAGCTAGGTGGAGCGGTGTGATGTGTTGCTATTCCAAACACAAAGAAAGATATTTTGTTTTGGATGGATAGCAGAATAACACATCAAATGTTCTGCTGTACAGATTGTATACAGCAGATGTATAGAGTGCATACTTTTGCTGATCTTGTTCACGACTTGCATATGGGTAGAATGCTAAAAAAGTCAACATTAAACTGATGAAACAGTTTCACATCTGGGAGAATGTTAGCCTCATAAGTAGGTCATGTTTCACCTTTACATACAAAGAAAAATATGTTCATTTAAAGTTACTGCTGTACAATCTGCTGTTGACATTTTTAAACATATTTAGGAAGATTTTTAAGAAGGTCATGTGGCCTGACATCACAACATCCACCACAGACGTCAGACTGAAAAGGTCCTTTTTAGAATTGTTGGAGTTAACATTACTTACATTGTCTACAGCATCTATGTTGATTCCTGCCTCCAGCAGCAAGCTGGCCTCTCTATCAAAGCCATGCTGGGCCACGTAATGAAGAGCATTCATATTCCTCTGAATACAGAAGAAAACAAGGGTCAAAAGATTAAAAAAAACAAAAAAAAAACAACAACTTTGTAATCTCTTGTGCTCATTGGAGACGGTTACCATTTTAAATGAACAGACTTACATTAGTTTGTGCATTGACGTTACAGCCGGACTCCAGCAGCAGTTTGACACACTCATAGTGACCTCCATCAGCTGCCAGGTGCAATGCTGTGAGACCATCCTGAAACACAGCAGGTATATTTAAGTTCATCAAAGGTCACCAGAGTTTAAAGTCAGTCTGAACTGGTTATTCTGTTCAACCAACAGCCACAATCCACGGTTAGTTTGAACATTGTGAACCAGAAATGCAGAAAACCTTTTGAGCACATTAATAATTTTTTTTTTAAAGATCAGAATTTCTGCACTCTGTATTCCACCCACTAGAGTGCCAGTGGGTGAAATAGTAGTCACCACACCTGAGGTTAAATGGTTTACTTATTTATTATAGTGCAGAGTACTTACAGAGCTTATCTAGCTTTGATGGTAAACGAAACATCTTTCAGTTTTGGATTGCTGGTTGGAGAGAAAACACATTTGGCTTCCCTGGTGTAATTAACAGCTTTTATTTTTGTTTTTATCATTATTATTATTATTATTATTAAGAAGAAGAAGAAGAAGTGCCAATGCAGAAGCATCAAAGCACACTTCATATTATTCATTTTATAGTTTCTTCTTGAGTGATTTTCACTGTGTAACTCCTGCATTTTGAAAAAAAAACCTATACAAATTCTATATAAAAATGTGTAACTGGATTGGGAATGGTGTGTTATGACTTTTGGTAGTGATTTGTCATACGGTTTTTGCCGAAATTGTAAACTCCAATTTTTCCTTCAGGTGTAGTGCGGCTCTTTCAGCCGAGCATATCTAACAGCAGGTTAAAGGTAAATCACCACAGTTGTTACTAATGATATTAACAAAGCCTTAACTTAACAATGAGATCCCTCTGATGCTTTGGAAGCTCTCTGCAGACCATGGCTTTTGCTCTAAGATGCAACTAAGAAAATGTCAGGAAATGCCTACTCGAACAGCTGACCTTTATTTGGGGTTAATCAAAGGCATTTCAAATGATGGCAGGTGTGTGCTGACTTCTATTTGCCTTAATAAATAGTTGGGAATGGTTAATTCTGAACACAGCCACATCCCCAGTTATAAATGTACATGTAAAGGATGTACATGTTTATGCAACCACGTTATTTTTTTAAATTTCTACTTTACTTTGACCACACATATCATGAAGTCACTTGGGAGGCTGGTGATGAAGCACTGACGATGAATAGATGAGCCATCTCTGGACCCCCTGCAGTTTGAATACCAGCCTCACATTGGAATGGAAGATGTCATTATCTTTCCACTTTACAGGTGTTATATGTTCCTGGAAGAGGTAGGCAACACTAAGAGTCATGCTCTTTGACTGTTCCAGTATTTTTAACACCCTATGACCTACCCTGCTCAGGAATAAGCTGCTGGTGGATGTTCCACTATTGGCCTAAATCGCCAACTACCTCACAGGTTGGATACAGTTTGTGAGGCTGCAGAGCGCCATGTCAGACACAACAGTGAGCAGCACGAGTGCACTTCAGTGCACAGTCCTGTCTCCCTTCTGCTTCACTCTTTACACATCTGACTTCAGATACTCCTCACAGTTCTGCCAACTGCAAACGTTTTTGGACAACTTTGCCATAGTGGGCTGTATCAGCAGGACAGGAGGCTGCGTACAGGAGTGTGGTGGACATGACCATTTAGAACCCAATCACCATCAAGGTGGTTACTGTTGAAGATTACAAGTATCTCGGTGTCCACATAGACAATAAGCCGGACTGGACTAAAAACACGAAGGCTCTGTATAAGAAAGGTCAAAGCTGCCTGTTTTTACTTAGGAGACTGAGATCTTCTAATGTCTGCAGAACCATGCTGCAGACGTTTCATCCCTCAGTGGTGGCTAGGGTCATCTTCTACACTGTAGTGTGCTGGGGCAGCAGGGTGAAGGCAGCTGATGCTAACAGACCCAACAAGCTGATCAGGAAAGCTGGATATGTCCTGGGAGTGGAGCTGAGGTATTTGGTGGAGGTGTCAGAAAGGAGGATGCTGAGGAAACTACTCAGTATTATGAACAACACATCTTGTCCCCTGCACACCACACTGTTGTCACATCAGATCAGCTTCAGCTGTAGACTGAGACCACTGAGGCGCAGCACAGAACACCACATTAGATAATTCTACCAGTGGCCGTCAAACTGTATTCCTCCCTCTTCGCTGCAGGAATGGCAGCTAAAACATTGGACACATAAATCTAAACAACAATATCTATATCATTTGCAATATTACTTCTCAATATTTTTTGCAATATCAGTTTCCGTATCATGTGTAGCATTTCATTTCATGTGCAATATTTTACATTTTTATTTCTCAGGTGAAATATTTCAGTTTCATGTGTAATATTTCATTATCATGTGAAAGATCTCATTTTAATTTGCAACACTTTAATTACATGTGCAATATTTCAGTTTCTTGTACAACATTGTCAACATAATTGACAACATTTCATTTTCATTGTCATCTAGTTTTTCAGGTACAAGATTGTATTATCATGTGTGATACTACTTACTACCTCAGTATAACTGCCAGCATTACTGTTTACTGTTCAATTCTAGCCTCATTTTAGCGTACTTATTTTATTTTGGTATTGTAACGTACTAATATCTTAATGCTTTTCGATTTTTCTACTTCTATACTTCTACTTATTTTGTTTTTTCTGAGCAATATCTGGCACAAGCATTTCCTTCAGGATTCATAAAGCTTATTTTATCATATCTCATCTTATAAATTGCCTTTGAAACAGTTGTGTAGAGCCTGTAGAGACTTGACCAAGAAGAAAGAAGAAAATTTACTCACTTAATTTGTCATTACACATTATTGAGAGCAGATTGATGGGGAAAATCGTATCAATTTAAAATTAAATTCAGAATATCATTAAGTATTAAAAAAAAAAAAAAAAGAAGTGAAGGGGACTAAATACTTTCTGAATCCATTGTATATTGTGGACCCAAAATTCATTTCTTCACACGAGCAAAAACAGATGTATGTTTACTATTTGATGTTTCAAAAGAACAACTTCTGTAAAATCAAGAAGAGTCCAGATACTCACTGTATTCCTCTCATCCACATCTACTCCAGTCTCCACGATCTTTTGCAGGACCTCTGTGTGCCCTCGCTTTGCTGCTAGATGCACAGCTGTGTTCTCTTCCTGTCATCCAGACATCAACAACACATAATAAACATTTGAAACAGCTTTCTTTACGTACAGTACATCCACCAACAAATCAGTAGTTCCACTTGTTTTATTGTTTAAACCTCGATAGTGTGTTGATTGACCTTTCATTAATTCTAAAATCAAATAAATACGCCCTGACAGCCCTGTAAGATCAGCTAGTAGACACCAAGTGTGCTCATTAAAGTTAATGCTGTTACTAATATATACAGTAACTGCTATTTTTACAGTATTTTTTTCAAAGCAGGAGTAAGTGTCACTGTTTACACTCCATCCATCCATCCATCCATCATCTATACACCGCTTAATCCTCACTAGGGTTGCGGGGGGGCTGGAGTCTATCCCAGCTGACTTAGGGCGAAGGCAGGGGACACCCTGGACAGGTCACCAGTCTATCACAGGGCTACACTTAGAGACAGACAACCAAGCACACTCACATTCACACCTATGGACAATTTAGAATCACCAATTAACCTCAACATGTTTTTGGACTGTGTAGGAGGAAGCCGGAGAACCCAGAGAGAACCCACGCTGCACGGGGAGAACATGCAAACTCCACGCAGAAATAGCCCAGGTGTCCTCACCGGGATGCAAACTGGCGACCTTCTTGCTGCAAGGCAACAGTGCTAACAACTGCACTACCCTGCAGCCCCTGTTTACACTCTTTTGCTTTTTGCTTCTTTTTTTTTTTAAATGTGTTTGGTCAAGGACTCAAATCATCAAATCAAGTTTATTGTCATGTTTGCTGTACATACACAGTAGTACAGGCAAGGTGAGAGAGTGTTTCTTCAGGATCCAATAACTTAAAGCAATTTAAATAAAGAAGTGTTTGCATATCTGGATCAGCAGTTCAGCATTCTGATAGCTTGCGGAATAAAGCTGTTGATCATTCTGGAGGTTCTTCCTTTAATGCTCCAGAAATGTTTGTCTGATGGCAGCAGTTCAAACAGTTTATGGAGAGGGTGTGAGGAGTCCCTGACAATGTTCAGTGCCCTGCTCCTGCAGCGGCTCTGGAAAAGTTCTTGGACAGTGGTAAGGAAAACTCTGATGATCCTCTCATCTCCTCCAACTATCCTCTCCAGGGCTTTTCTGTCTGACATACTGCAGCTGGAGTACCATGTTGAGATGCAGTCTGTCAGAACGCTCTCCACCTCACCTCTGTAAAACGTCCTGAGGATACTGGCAGGGAGAGAAGCTTGTTTCAGCCTCCTCAGAAAATGCAGTCTCTGCTGGGACCGTTTGATGATCGCTGTGGTGTTCTTATTCCAGCTCAGGTCCTGCGAGATCTACATTCCAAGGAACTTGATGTTCTCCACTCTCTCCGCTGTGCAGCTGCTGATGCTGAGGGGAGCATGCTCAGGACGTGACCTCCGGAAGTCGATGATCATCTGCTTCATTTAGTCCACGCTGAGCAGCAGGTTGTTCTTTTTGCACCACCCTCTAGGTGTTTCACTTTATCTCTGTACATTGATTCATTGTTCCCACGAATAAGTCCCACGACTGTGGTTTCACCAGCAAACTTGATGATCTGAATCCCCTCATGCGTGGCTGCACAGTCGTGTGTTGTAGTGTAAACAACAGTGGACTGAGTACACAGCCTCTTTCATACATCTGCAGTTTTCATAAAACTAATTGATATGAGTTCATTTTCACTTCACCGTAGATATTTTTGATTTCAAAATAGCACTTTTCAAAGATTTGAAATTATATCAAAAAGGCTTTTTCCTAGATATCACTTATTTGAGATCATATATTTCCAAAAGCCACTTTTTAAGCAAAAAACATTTAGATGACATAAATCTGAAGATAAAGAAAATGCCAAAACTAAATTAAATCAGACTTTTACACGTAATTTGGAGAATAAAACAAAACTCTGAATAAAAATTGCATAATAATTCATTAATTTTAATAACTTTTTAAAAAAGAATAATTATACAGTGGTGGAAAAAAGTTTTCGGGCAACCCATGCATTTATGAAATATTGCGTGGAGTTTGCATGTTCTCCCTGTACAGTGGGTTCTCTCTGGGTTCTCCGGCTTCCTCCCACACAGTCCAAAAACATGTTGAGGTTAATTGATGATTCTAAACTGTCCGTAGGTGTGAATGTGAGTGTGCTTGGTTGTCTGTCTCTAAGTGTAGCCCTGTGATAGACTGGTGACCTGTCCAGGGTGTCCCCTGCCTTCACCCTATAAGTCAGCTGGGATAGACTCCAGCCCCCCCCGCAACCCTAGTAAGGATTAAGTGATGTATAGATAAAAGCAGTAATTCAAGAAGAATGGGACAAGATTACCTCTCAACAGTGTGAAAAACTGGTGGGGAACATGCCAGCCAGGATTAGAGCTCTACTGTGTGCTAATGACAGGACAACTTAATATATTAATTGAATGATGTGATGGCTTATTTATTTTTTGTTCAGTTTTTAACACATTCTCTTTTATTTGTTGACTTTGATACTGACAATGTTGAAAACTGACATAATGAAACTGTCAAGAATTTAGTTTCGCTAGTTTTTCTTGTAAACAATAAGCAAAAATAATAATAATTTGTACTCGTTTGTCTCTGTCCAATGCAGCCACACCTTTTGAAACACAAGAAAGATTTGTCCACAAATATTTCACAATAATATTGTGATTGTGTAGAATTTTAAGGGTGTACAAAAAGTTTTTTCCACCACTGTATGTTACATAATTTAGTCACTGCTATTTCATAATTATGTGTCTTGTGCTTCAGTGTTCAACTAGTCAGTGGTGTGGAAATATTTCATTTGAACGAGCTGCAAAAAGCAGCATAACTATGTCTTTACCTCATCAAGCTACTTTACATGGGACTTTCAAGTGAGAACAAATCCTGCTTTAAGCTTTGTTTGTGCAAAGATGGATTCAAGGAAAACTCTGGAGAGCTCCATGACAGTCTGACAAATAGACAAACTGTAGTATAATAATATGTAATATCTAATTATTAATCATTACCTGTTGAACTTCATATATCTTGTTGTCATGCAGATTATTGGTTTTAGGGCTGGTCAGGGTAAGGACTTGGTTTCAGGGTTGAAGTTCGTATTGGGTTAGGGGTAGGCACTTAGTTGTGATGGTTAGAATTAAGGGCTAAGGAATGCTTTTTGTCAGTAAATGTCCTCACAAAGAAAGCCATGGAACTCTGTGTGTGTGTGTGTGTGTGTGTGTGTGTGTGTGTGTGTATGTGTGTGTGCGTGTGTGTGTCACTACCTTGTCCTTCAAACCATGCGTGCAGCCCATTCCAATAAGAAACGTCACCACTTCAAGCTGTCCATGCTCAGCAGCGAGGTGAAGGGCTGTCTTCCCTGCCTTGTCAGAGAGATGTCAGTAGGTTACACACAAGAGCTAAACTACTACACTTAGAATGTTCTCTCTCACTCACACACTGACACACTCACACTCACACACAACACAATATTAGGATCATGGTCCTTTCATTCATTTATTGGCATATTGCTGGTATTCTGACAAACAGCAGTAAAATAGGGACTTGGGAAGAAAATGAGGACATATTCTTTTATGCTGGCAAAGCTTACAGTTTGTACAAATCATTATGCAAATTTAAAGTAGTGTCAAGCAAAGACTCACCTTGTCAGCTCTGTCCAGACAGATGCCTTCCAGGTCCTCCATGATGAACTCCAACACTCTAATGTGGCCTCGCTGAGCAGCACAGTGCAGCATACTCAGACCATCCTAACACACACACAAACACACACACGCACACACACACACACACACACACACACGCGCACGCACACACAAACACACACACTGTGAGGTATGAGTCAGACAATAACCCCATAGTCTGATTAAATGAATGAGCTCTTACTTTGTTTTCAGAGTTGAGCTTGGCTCCACAGGACACCAGGATCTGCAGGATCTTTAGGTGACCAAACCAGGATGCCAGAAGCAGAGCATTCATGCCAAACTGTAGAAAAACATTTACAACTAGATACTGTTATATAACAGTGAAGCTGATAGCACATATACATATAGTATATACTACTTAGTGCTGCTAGGCGGTTTCTGTCCCATTCTGTTAATTCAGGCTAAAAAAGTGCAGTTGTAGTGAGGTGGCCTCAATGTGTCAACAGTGGCAGCAGCTCAGTTTTCTTGTGCCCACTCAGTGAAAACATCTTTTTGTTGTACCTCTGGACAGGCTCATACCACTTTGTTAGATTTTTCTTTCATCACTTTATTCCTGGACATACTCAGTGTTACGCCAAAGCAGGCTTTTTGCAGAGCAGTAGATTTAAGATATTTTTACAACACACAGAATGTAACGTGGGCTGCAAGGTGTGAATGTGAGTGTGCTTGGTTGTCTGTCTCTAAGTGTGGTCCTGTGATAGATTGGTGACCTGTCCAGGGTGTCCCCTGCCTTTGCCCTAAGTCAGCTGGGATAGGCTCCAGCCCCCCCGCGACCCTAATGAGGATTAAGCGGTGTATCGATAATGGATGGATGGATGGATGGATAGAATGTAACGTATTGTCTAATTCATGGTCATAACGGTCAAAATGTATGTATGAGGGAAAACCAACTGGTCTACAGTATTATTTGTTGGGTAAATTAAATCCCTGATATATCACATTCCTGTCAGTACTTCCAAGCTGTTGATAACAACAACTTGCAGTGGGTATGTCCTGCTCAGGAGAAGAAGAGTCTTCTGAATTTTAATATTGCCTTGACTATGCTTTTAAGATGTCCTCTGTCCCTAGTGTTTCTGATTTGAAAGGTAAAAATTGAGATTTGTTTTAGAAAAGGGAGAGTTTCCAGAATATGAGTAAAAAATATGATTTGAGGACAAATGAAGTCAACAGACACTCTACCATGCCAGTAACACAGGACAGAACCATCAACAAACTTCTCCAGGGAAGTGAATATTGGGATAAAATCAACATGTAAAGAAAACATGAAAGAAACATTATTTTTAAATCAGTAAATTGGAAAATTTTTGAATAATTATTGGCAAAACACATGGAAGATGCATCATACATATACCAGGCACAGAAGGGAATCTGCTGAAAAAAACAAACAAAAAAAACAACAAAAAAAACAGACAGGCTGTTGCATTAAACAGAGGATCAAAAGTCAGCTGTCTAGGCATAAATGTTGAAGAGAAGGTTACTTACATATCTTTCAGAAATTAGTAAAATAATTGTATTTTGGAAAATGTTATGTAAAGTATGGCTGGATATAATATCCCTCTGAGTTGTCTGGTGCTGTATCTCTGCAATTATCTGAATGGAATGGAATGGTAAGGAGCAAATATTTGGTAAAGGATGTTATATAACTGAACAGAGTTGATTTTTCAGTATGATCTAACTACAAACATGTACATACACTGTCCCTCTCATCAACGTCAGTGTCGTGCTCCAGCAGGAGATGCAGAGCCTGTTCATTCCCAGCTCCTGCGGCCCAGTGCAGTGCTTTACGGTCTATCTGTGCGGAGACAGGGAGACAGACATGACTAGGCCCACATTGTCAAACAGTTAGCCATGAAATTCTACTGATTCTCTGAGCATGTTTGCAGACCACATCAGCTGTTTAAGGACACCTCAGTTGGACAATCAGAATGACCCTTTTTTCACAGCAGACCATAGCAGTAACATAACATTTAAGGTCTGTCATTAATGATGCCTGTCTCAGTGAACCACACAAGCAGAGGGACATGTACAAGAACATAGATTACTGCTGGTGATCTATCTGACTAATTCTTCTTGTTGTCTCAATAATTAGAGATCTCAGACCTATTACTATTTTACAAGATGTAGCATGGAATTAAGCCCCTCCCTTTAGTATTAGTGCTGAGTCCTTTCGTATGAAATCAAGCAATTTCTGAAAATTTTCCCAGATCACCCTCTCAAATTCCTCTGAAAAAAAAATCACAGGTGCTCCTATACCAAACCTATGAAGAAATCCCAAACAATAGGTCTCCATCTGTAATAGTTAGTTTAATTGTAGTCATTTGAAATTTTTGTTAATTTTATGGGTTTTTTGGAAAACTAGCCTCTCAGACCATCGTCTGACATTAATAACTCATAGAGTATGGCATAAGGAGCTTTGAAACTGTTCATCTTGTGCTATCTTTTCGTGTTGAATCGAAAAGTATAATCAGCATCAAACACAGCTCATCATGTCAGAGACAAATCCTCAATAGATTCATTGTAGACATAAACCCTCATTAGGCCTAAATATAAATTCACAAAATATAAGATTCACACAGACATAATGCAATGCAATTTGCATTTAAATTCACCTCTTAATGAAACTGCCTTAAATTTTAAATTTCACAATTGACCTTGACACGTTATCATCAAGTGTTGTGCATTGCAAAAAACAATCAGTGACTTGCAAAAGTACTAAACCTCTGTAGAAAATCCAGCCAAGATCTACATACAGATCTACAATCTTGAATTAGTGAAATTGAATATCAAGTGTGTACATATACAAAAACAGGGGTTAACGCTTTTGCAAGTTATTGTACTTATCTGGATATGAATGAGGTACTGATATGATTTCTCCATAACTTTGGCATAGGAGCACCTGTGAATTTGTTCAGAGGAATCTGAGAGGGTGACCTGGGACCCTCTGGTTGATTTGATATGGAATGAGCCTCTTGGGCTTTAAAGTTCCTCTCTGGTCATTGATTAAAGCAAGTAAATCAAAGTTACACATTTAGAAGGGTTTTTTCCCCCCCACAAAAATAATCCCTTTTTGCCTCAAAATCCCTGAGATAAAACTTCCTCTTGAATGTCCAGATCTATGAAATTCCTGCTTCTCCATTCACTCACCCTTTCCTACTTGCTGCAGCTCACCTATGTTTATCTATGTCTGTGTCTATCTATGTCTGCCTATGCCTAAAACTGTGCTACACTACACCATGGCAGGTTACAATACTGGACTAATTTATACATGTTCAAACCAGAATCAAATTCTATACAAGAATATTGATACAGAAAGCCCCGTCCTGCAAGTTTACAGATTCCTTAGGCATATTACGTATGAAACCCTGGCTATCTGAATCTGTATTTTTGAGGCTGTCATCAATGGGGCTTTAAGGTGGACATGTTCAGCCATGGCATTCACTGCTTATTTCACTAATAATGTGTCTTCCAGCATATAAACAAAAGCGTAAGGATGTGTTAGCAAAGTATATATAGAAAAAAATAAATGAAAAAAATACATTTCCACAGGAGGTGGTCTGTAAAATCATTCAGATAAGCTTATTTACAGAACACTCTGAAATTAACACTGACACATGGTGGATATTTAGAATGCAAAGACAAGCAAAGTCTAGTTAAAACCCCTAACTATCAGACTCTGCTGCCAGGCTCTTCCTGCTGTGAAAAACACCTACAGTGTTTGAAAGCATTAGCTGTTTAGAGAAAGGTGTCTCTTTGCTCTTCAGCAGGCTTACTTTGTTTTTGGCCTTGACGTCCACACCCTTCTTGATCAGTTCCTGCATTTTCCCCGTGTCGTTCTTCTTGGCAGCATCATGTAACTCCTTTTCGGACCACAGCACTGCCAGCAATTAGAAAAGGAGGGATTTTAAGTGTTATAGTCTGTGCTACAGTTAATCACCAAACACCTGGTAGATGAATGCAGACAGCACAGTGCAGCTGTGTAAAGCTGCCATGAGAAGTTAATACATCAATTAGTTGTCAACTATTAAGTGATTTGCCCACTTTTTTAATGATCAATTATTCTGCATTAGTAATTTTTTTTAAAGAAAAAAAAGCTAAAATTCTCTAAATTGCAGCTTCTCAGGTGTGAATATTTTCTGGTTTCTCTATACCAGTAAACTGAATGTCTTTGGGTTGTGGGCAAAGCAAGATACGGTTATCTCAGGCTTTAAGAAACACTGATTGACCATTTTCACCATTTTCAATCTCATCAAGTTTCATCGATTCATCAAATAATATAAATGAGAAGCAAACAAAACAAGACCAGCTGGTGTGAGTTATGCTGCAGCACCGTAGGCAACATGAAAACACAGTAACCCATAGTCAGTCTACATTTATTGGTTTCAACTCAGTCTTAAAGCTTCCACCATTTCTAAATTTCCTATGTTCTCCTGAGCTTTGACCTGTGGGCATACCATCTAGCTGCATTAGCTGTGCGGATTGATAATGCTAATAAAAACTGATCCACTGGGTGTTTCTCAAATGCTGGGAGTGCACAATGACTCTTGTGGTTAATCTTGCAAAATGGCAGAAAACGTGACCATTTCACCACTGAGACACTTGAGAGTGATCAGATGCAGTTCTCAAAAGCAAACAGACATGGTGGAGTAAGAGGCAGCTCCTCTTCCTAAATGGCTGAATAGAAGCTGCTTCAGTGAGGGACAGGATCATGTAGATTTTTAGCTTTGTGACCACTGAGTAACCAGTTTCTACTTAAGCCTCTTTCCGACATCGGATATAGAACTTTACTGGCTTCCTAAATCTGTTAAAGTGACAGCATTGTAGTCTTTAGGACAGTGGTCACTTTCACGTTAATGTCCCTTACAGCTGCATTCAGATGCACACAACAGTGGTGGAGAGAGTCCAGAGGGCTCTACTACAAAGCCAGATTAGTGGGTTCGTGAGATATGTTGAGCTAAAGTCAGAGTTTTCAGGTGGCTTGATCTCCATGGTAACTGATGCTGTGGAGCTAACCTGGTCAGGGACAGGTTATGTTCAGAGTTTTGGATTTAAATCGGCTGGAAGAAGCGTCTCCCTTTAATTAAATCGTTTCCTGATGATGCAGACTTGAAATTACCATCAGATTAACAGAATGGAGTGATGATGAAGTGATCTGATGGAGTGTGAAAGAGGTTATAGAAACCTCTCTCCTTTTGCTATCCTGTTCTGTAGCGCACAGGTGTCAAACTCTGGCTCGCAGTGTAATTATATTTGAAGATAATAACAAATGTCTATCCCAGCTGGCCC